AGCAAATTGGTTACACAACTGCAGGTTTATATTTGCGTTCGACACATTAAGAAGCCATCTGAAAAGCTCAGGTGCTGAATAATAATTGTATTTAATGCATTGCATATTACCTTTCTAAAATAATCTAATCGGGGAGAGGAGAGGGGAGAGGGTAGGGGGAGATGAAGTCACCTAAGATAACCTATAATTTGTTGAATGCAAAGCCTGCTTCAGTGTAAAGCTTTTGAAGTTAATACAAAATGAATTTCACTCAGATAGCAGTATCTTTACTGCTATTAGAAGTATTGAAATTCTAATGAATGAAGCTAGCACATAAACATTACTCATCTAGCATTTATACTGTGCTGTTGCCTAGAGGCCTCCACTCTGTTTGCAGTACTCCACTTCGCAGTACTCCGTGCACAGACATAGAGTAAACTGCAGGGCCTTCCTCAAGGCACTTTTGAGTGCACACCCATTAAAGATGAGTATGTGGTGGCCTAATAAGGCTAACTGAGTTTCTGTGCCAGGGATGTGAATCTATGGCTGTTTGCCTGCCTCGATCCTGACTCTACGCAAGTGGGTTCCAGGCTTTTTGTCCTCAGCCTTGTCATGCACGTGTATATTTCTTGGGGTGTGAAAATAGCAGCACTCGAGAGGTTGTTCAGAGCAGTAGAAAAATGACAGGCAAATCATACCAAAAGATTAGTCTCATTAGCCTGGGGAATTCCTTAGACAGCTGTGGGTGTTCCCTGGCTGCTTTCCTGGGGGCTAGCCTGTCCATAAGCAAAGCAGTTGAAGAATTAGAATTGCTGCTACTGCCTGCCTTTTCCCTGCAAACCCCACTCTGCAAAGATTTCTTAAAATTGCAGTAATGTGGGGCCAAACCAATTCAGTATGCTTCTATTGCCTCCAGAAGTCATTGAGATAAGAGGTTAGATGCTAGACCTCTGAATAAATACATAGGGCTGCATTGATTCTCAGTGACAGCCAGAGCAGGGATGATATGCAAGTTCCAGCTCAGGTATATAGAAGGATTTGGAATTCATAAACCAGAAGAGATGTGTGGGTTGAGGTGATGGGTGAGGGGGCATGGCAGCAAAAGGGAAACACTGGTACTTCTGTGCACACCTCCTTCAGGCAGCATATTTGGGGGGCGGAGAAATCATATGGGTTCAAGTGATTTAACACTTGTTTTAAGCCAAGAGGCCAAATCATGCTCCACTACCTCCGAAGTCTCTAGCTGAGGCTGTTCCAGTTTAACACCTAAGTTCTGCCTTTTGCTGCTCCCAGGTTCTGCTTCTACTACTCTAAACCTAGGACTTCACTAGAGACCCCTGGAGTTATCACAAGGGCTCTTACTAACTTGAATTGTTTTTTGGATTGGGCCTCTGCAGACAGCAAAGCCTCTATAAGGGAGTGTTGGGGAGGGAGGGTAGCAAGGCAGGAAGATCATTAGGGATAAAAGATTAAAATATTTGCATTTACAGTTGAACCAATATTGACTGATTGACTCATTCTGTTGTAAGCTACCGTTTTCTGCAGTTAGGCTACTTTTTTAAACAGCAGAATCAAATGTTTGGTTCCATTCTCTATCCTGTACCCTCTGCCTCAAGTGAGCAGCTAGAGAAAGTTCGAGGTTGGGGAGGAAGCACTTCCTGGGGCTAAGTCTAGACAGTCAAAACACCTGAGGCTGAATCAACTCAATCTTTGCAGGTTAGTCTAAGCTGCAAAGATTGAATCGAGAAGCAAGTGAACATACATTCACTTTTGACTAAGGAAATGCAGCCACATGCCTGCAGTGGCTCCCAGCCTGCCAGCCACTGCTGAAGAGAAAGGAGGGAAGCTGGGAGAGAAGCACTCTGAGGCTTCCCTTCCCCTCCATTCAAGCAGAAAGAAGGGGTATAGCCAGGCCCGGGGTGGCGTTCTGAGTATGATGGGAGTGTTTAAACCCACACCCTGACCTGCACTGACCCTGGAGGGGCAGGTGAGGGGTGGGAGGGAAGGGGAGAAGCCCCAGCCAGGCTTTTCCCTGATTGAGCAGAGGAGCATGGCTAGGCCCCAGCCCCAACTGGCTCAACAAGGTGGAGGGGGAGAAGGGCTTAAGCCCCCTCCCTGGCTTGTACAGGACCCCAGCCAGGGCCTGCCTGGCAAGGGCAAAGCAGCCCCTCTCTAAGTGGGGAAAAGCCTGGTAGGGGATGCTTTGCCCCTTCAAGCAGACCCCTGCTGAGGTCCGGACCTGGGTTTCCCCCCCCAAACTCCCTTCTCAGCCAGCCGGAGCAGTGATAGTGCTCTGGCTAAGGAATGGAGGAGCAGAGCCAAGCCTGCTCTACTGGAACAGACAGCACAGCCAGGGCAGCAAAGCATCATGGGATGCTGGGGGACTGAGAGTTAACTTGAACTGGGAAGGGGTCTGGGACAGACATTTCATAAACTGGTTTGACCTAAATCTGTTCAGTCTGATACTACATCCAACCAGGTTTTTTTTAAACCAGTTTCAGTCATTTTGAAAGCAATTTAAGTGCACTGAACATCTGTTGTGTTACAGATTTGAACTGGTTTTGATCACTTAAACTGGTTTCTGTGTAGTTTCTGTCCCTAGCCTGGTAGTGGACAGCCCTGTCTTCTCCAAGACACTGGGATGTGTTAGCGGTTGGGAAAGATCTTGTTTCATTAGCATTTGTTCAGCATTTTGGGAGCAAATGGAACCATGTCAAACTGTGCAACACAATGACTAGCAATAAGTTATCAGGCTAAAACGTTTGTGGTTTTTTTATAAAACGGGGCAGTTAATGATATCGACGCAGTTTTCTGTTAAACCTGATGTGCTATATTAAGGAGCAGCTGGTTGGGTTTGTTTCAAGCATTAAGCCACAGAACAGGATGTGGATTTTAAATTGCTGGGGCCATGTCTAAAGTAAATGGAATATGATTATTGATAATCCTCTGAAGCTTTGCAGCTTATTTGGTTGTTGTTTCTTGTTGATCCTGGACATTTTTGATGCATTAGCTGGGCATTTGCTGCCTGGAAGTGTTCGGTCCTTATTATCAGATGTATATCTTCTTGCTACATTTGTCTCATCACATTTCAGTGTTCTGCTTTACTTCCTTCCCATTGTTATGTGGGTCCAGTACTGTATGTACATGTGTGTTTATCTGCTCTGTGTGTAATTTCTGTTACCCAGCTTTTAACTCATTTAGCAGTGGCTTAAATGACTACTAAGTGCTGCACGACATAGAGCTGTGGCCTTTGAGCTATCAGGAAACTGATTCCAGATTGTGCAAACCTTGGTGATGGAGCTTTGCAGTGTATTCTGGTAGGCTTTTTATATTAGTACAAATTAAACAGGCCTAACATTACATAGAACTTCAGTTGTTAAAAGCTGCTGTTGTCACACAGAATGAACCTCCTGTCTTGTAAGAAAGGTATTCAGCATGTCAGTAAGTTCACTGTTACATAGTTATGTCCCTCGAACATGTGTTTCCTTAGCCTTGAGTTCCTTTGGTTTGTATGGCTGGGAATCCTAATGGCAGAGGAGGATAAAGGAGAAATGTTCATCATAACCATTTAGGCAGACAAGGTTCTTTGGATAAATCTGACATCTTTTATTAGACCAACTCAGATGGTTGGAAAAATTCTTCTTTGCAAGCTTTTGGGTATAAATACCCTTCATCAGGCTGCGGTACCATTTAAGCATCTTTCACTTTGACCTGTTTGACCAGACTGAAGACAGTTAACAGTGCCTGCATGTCACTGCAATTAGTAAGTGAGCCCCCAAACCCATTGTAATACTAAGGCACCATCTCTGCTGTAATAGAGGACATCTATTGTGCCCAGACCCCTTGGAGTCATGATGAAATCATAAGATTGTTGAAATATGCTTTTTGCCCAGTTGGGGACTCCTGAAAAAGCTGGAAACACTTGTATAAAAGTTGCAATATGAAAACCTGAACAGGCTGTCAAGGCTTCTGAATTCTTCAGACCAATGTACACATGAAGACTGTGCTGTCACTCTGCCAGCCACATTGCAACTCCCTACTTTTAAGAAGCTTATTTGTTACAGTACTGGGGAACATTGAATTAAAATGTTTTTAAAAGATCTGAATCACTTGCTTATTTTCTTCTCCCTGGGTGACTCAGCTGCTCCTGCTGCCAGTGGTTAGAAAAAAAAGGGAAAGGTCCTGTGGGGTGATCCTGTTAAACATGGGGTCTTCTTCCACCCCATCCCTCTTTCTGATGCTTCTGCC